CGTGAGAATGGTGAAGGTGTGCTTTCTGCGAACTTTGGTGAGTGTGATCAAGAAGTTGGTTGCGGCATTGTCTGGTGCTGAGACCTCTTCGTAAAAGTTTAATTTGTGGTGTAAATATTCCTCTGGGTCGGTTTCGAATTTCTCAACATCGTCGGGCGATAGACACATAACAGGGAAAAGGAAATGGGTGACAAGACTGTCGAGATGTGGTTTCAAATGAGCCCACATTTGCTTTGGTCGAACACACTCATCAAGGAAAACCAAGGTATATGAAAGACAAGGTCTGCTGAGCCATGTTGTCTTTGCGACCCATTTTTCAATCTGCTGAAGGTAACCTTTGAGAATTTCGGGTGCGAAATTGGCTGTGAAGCTTTTTGCGAATGCGGCATAATCGTCTCCGTTGCCTTTCGACAAAGATGTGGGGTTGCCATAACTAAAGGAATGTTAGTAAAATGGGTGTCAATTACCTGCAAATTACTCACCGAACATAGAGTCTGTTCAAATTGAAGTATGACCATTTCTTGGCCTTCCACCAGTGATTGGCTTCTCTCTCGGCTTCATCCTCAGGTAAAGCGGTAGCTGGAACATCTTTTGCGACTGTTTGGAGGAACAAAGTGCACCAGCCGACTACTACGGTATGTTCGCGCAATGAAGCAGATAAGTCAAACTATTACTGTCAGCACTTTTATGAATATTCAAAAAAATAAGCACAAGTACATACAAATGTTGCATGTTTGTATGCCTTGAGAACGATATGAAGCATTTCTCCCGCCTCTTCGCTCATCTCATTGACCAAGCCTTGTCCGATTGTCAAAAGCCTTGGGAATGTGGCTTCCACGATTGCGTCGAAATCTGCGCGATTCTCTCCCGATTTGAAACGGAAAACCCGGCAGATTGCGAGGAGACATTGTAAACCTGCGAATATTGATGCTGCATCGTTTGTGTTCAATAATTGAACAGTCATTTCTATAAAGGAAGGCCATCTATCTGGGAAATCATAATGTAAAATCTTTTGAAGGACTGGGACAAGTTGTTGTCGAATTTGTGGTGGAGAGGACGCAATGAAAGGTAGGAGTCGATTTCGAAATCTAGCCTTCTCATCGTCGGCCATCGGCTTGGGCTGGGTTTCGCTCGGTAGCCATGCTCTCGTAACGCGATTCTTAAGGTAGACAACCGCTGCAATGTAGCGTTAGTATCTGCCAGCAGCGGGGTATGTATTGCGAAGAAGTTTGCATACTTGATAACCGAACTGCAGGACTTTGCTCTGCTTGTAAAATATCAAGAAGAGCATCGGTGAATCCAGGATGTTCCTCTGCCTGTTGAATAATTGTTAGAGGTAGAAGGAAATAGAATTTGCTAGGAATGCTTACCGATTTCAGGTCCAGTTCAGCGCGCCGACGAGTATCAGCATCTGGATCAAGTGTCGAAGCAATACGACCTCGCAAGACGGCAACATCCATCTTTGCTTATCTATTGAAAATAACTCAATAAAATAATATGAGGTTTTGTCTTGGATTCGGAGAACCGCAAAAACTTGAGCACTTCAAGAATTCGAGGAAGTTTTGTCGTGTCAATATATTTTGTGGTTCCCCCAAATTCGCCTAGCTGAAAAAAGCAAGCGAATGAAAAAAGTTCCTTGTAAGGAAGTAATAATAAAGTACAAGTGTGTGAGTGAATGGTTTTTGGTCCACCAATTGCTTGATCATTCCCGTTCCAAAGCTTCAGCAATTTAGTCAGCTTGCTTGTTGATGTTGATATAAGGTTTCTCTCTTTCTTGACAAGTTACTTGTGTAGAAGCCTACTGTGCTTCTCTCTCTTTTTCAATTTCCACAATCATATGCACATTATTTTATATCGAATCTTTCTTGTATTGTTGGGGGCCAGGGGGAAAGAGAATGTGAGTGCTAGGTAAGGCACAGAGCAAAGCAGGACAAACAGAACGTTATGTATGGGGACGCTGCAGAATCTCAAGGCAGTATTATGTTACACAGGGGAGGAAAGAGAGATTCCAGATATACTCCGTACGCAAAGCAGACTGGGATTGTGTTGGTCTCCGCACACGTTATAATCCTTATCAGAGGGCTTTGGCCTGCAAAGAGGGGAAGATTAAAGATTCTAAGACCCCTCCTTAAGCGCCTACCAGTACGTAGTTCATCATCAATTAGTGAGGGTGGGATGTTGATCTACAAGTGAGCCTTATGGGTTGGTATGGCATAGGAAGTCTGGATAATATTGAACACACGATATGTGAGGTGAGAAGAAGGTATGTAATAAGAAGAAGTACCTAGTAGAGATATCCCTAGATGAAACACACAATCAAGGTTATATTTCTCTAACAAGAATCACATAGAAGCTCTATCTATCTCTTTCCAAAAAAATCATTAGTTTGTCTAGACAACGGTTTGCTAGAAATCTTACTAATGCACACTCTGCCAATCCAGTATTGTTTGAAGTGGATCTCTGACGAAAATATTTCTTTGATCTGAATTATGCTATGAGAGAGCATTACATATCTACTATAGTAGGTAATTTTCTAATGTTTCTTCACTTTGATCCTGTGGTTATACAGACTGCGATGTACATCCAGTTGGCCATCTACTACAACGGCATAAGGGGTGGGTACACACCAACAATTATCAGGCATTCCAGAAACATCAATCAATGGTCTTCAGACATCGCAGTTGCCGAGATTGCCTCTAACAATTTATTGGATCAACAAACTGATTGGCAAACTTTTATGAATATATTCACGAAATCTGCTAAGTCGGGTACCCTACTTTCGGGCCACCCCCCTTTTAAGCCACTTTTTACACCAAAAATGTAATTTTTAACTTTCTTATTTATGAATAGAATTTATTGAAAATTTATATATATATAATTCAGATCGTTTTAAATCTAATTTGAAAATTTTAGATTTTTAGGATTTTTTGTATTAAGATTTAAAGCTTCAAAATATTGATTTTTAAATTTATATAAGAATTATATATAAATTTGAAACTTTTATAAAATCTTTAATAACTTTTTAATAAAAATTATTAAAAATAAATTATAAAATTTTATTATAAATTTATAATATGTTTATTTTGAAGGATTTAGAAAAAAAAGAAAATTTTCTATAAATAAATATTTAAAAAAATACCCTCAAAATTATAGAAATTATTTATACTATTTCAAACTTATTGTATATTATATCTTTATATTTGTTAATTTTTTTAAATTTTTTTTTGAATTTCTATATAGATTTAAATTCAAAACTTTTAAAAAGATATATAGTTTTCTTTTAATGATTATTGTTAAAAAGTTATTAAAGATTTTATAAAAGTTTTAAATTTATATGTGATTCTTATACAAATTAAAAAAATCGATATTTTGAAGCTTTAGATTTCAATACAGAAAAATCCTAAAAATCTAAAAATTTCAGAATAAGCCTAAAATGGCTTAAATTATATATATTCAATTTTTATTATTAAATTAGATTATATATTGATAGAGATATTAATAGGCCAAAAAAGCGATCTTTGGTGTAAAAGGGTGGCCCAAAACAGGGGTGGCCCGAAAGTAGGGTGATCGACTTACCCACTATTGATGTAGTATCTCCGAAATGGTACGCACTGCGTCTATCCTCACTACAAGTTATTCAAGCCCTAGATTTGCATGTAGCTACAGCTTTAGTATTAGGATCAAAAATCTTGTAGAGTTACTTTTCATGCAATCACCACCCAGTTCTATGCTCGGGCTTCAACGAGGCAAGGAACCCGACAGATTATTCATGTAAATATGATCTGCTTGCTTACTTTCAACGTCATTAACATCGAATCTGATCTTAAAGGACGTGTTGCGAGTGTGCTCCTGTTGAAACCTATCACCACATTTTCTCTACAGATCAAAAAGATGGTACGTTGTTCCACAATGTTTCTAACATCTGTAGATCAATTACTTCAGTCATACACCGAGCCTTATATTTACTGAAAGAGTATTGAGCTGGAAGGAGCTCCATTTGCGTAAAACCGAGATGTGGTTATGTGGAATGTCGTTTGGCTTCGAAGCGAGAGGTGTCCGAAACCGGTACGAGGAATTACTCATGCAAGGACTCTAGCATACTTGTGCTAAAATTTGGCTTCCAGATACAAATTTTGGCTGGCTGAGTATGATACTTGTCAACAGACTTCCATATATCGTTCTTCTCTTTAGAGATAAGGATTTTACAATCCTTTTAGGACTCCCACGTCCAGTTGTAAGAGGTCCTGATCTACCGATCCATATTTCAATCTAAATTCTAAATACAAGCCGAAAAGTTTCGACCTGTATTTGATATGAGATACCTACTGAACCCCATTTATGCAAATATATGTTAAGTGTAACATTTAGTCGGCGTTCCTGTAATCAATGTGGTATTTGTGGAGGAACATCTGTTTCATATTCACTCCCATGTGGCGTTATGGATACGAATCTGCAGCCAAGATCTTCACCACATCTCACTCCACAGATTTATAAATGGGATCATCTTTTCTCCATGCATTTTGGAACTGCAAGCTCACACGTTCCTGCCAACATCTCATGACATCACATGGCTTAGAAAGTCTTGTGATTTTCCTCATAAAAAATGCTGTTAGTCAGTACCCCTTGCAGCAAGTGACACAGATTGTACATGTTGAGTTTCATACTTGAGTAATTAGACGAGACCTTTCCGTTCGATCAAGTAGCCAAGACATATTGCTCGTATCCCCACAAGTTGGAGTCTGCCATCTGACAGTTGTAACGCTGCATGCTTTTTGCCTGAAGATTGGCTTAGGTTATAATTTACCCCGCAGTCCTCTTCGTTGTGAAAGAGGGCTGAACTAAGTATACGGGGTGCTGTGGTGAGGGGTGAGGGGTGAGGGGTGAGGGGTGATGGAAGATATAAAGTTATGGAATATTCTTGTTGAAGAAAGGATTTTAGTTTTTAGATGAATAAAAAGTGTTGGCTTACAAGAGCTTTATTCTAAAAATTTCTGGTCATCATGGCGAGAACAATCTCAATAAATAATTTGATCTATTTCCTTTTCTTTTCGTAGGTTCTTCTTCATCATTGTTCACATTCAGTCAACTGATAGTATACCTTACCATAGTATCCTCCATCTAACTAAAGCTTCCAAACCATCTATCAAAACGGTCACCGTCAATCCATGCACCCTCACTCCGAGCATTCCTACATATCTCTCTCCTTCATTACCTTGCCCAACCATCACCATCACCACTTCTCATACCTCCTGTCCCCCAGTAAGTTCATCTCCTACCCCATAATCCTTACCATCCTTACCATCCCCCTCTTCCCTTAAAAACTCTACCCTCGCTCACACCAACCATCCCAGACAACTCCAACATCATGCTCTCAAAATTTCTGCATCTCAGATGCCTATATAACAATTCCCTGCACTTGTCCCTCCTCCGTACCAACCACCACTCTCTATACCCCATGTCCATCTGCCTGTTCGCAAACTTGTCATATTGGTCAGCAGATTTATCGTGAGACAGCGTGTTCTAGTACCGTCGATACATATACTACTCCCAATCCAAACATCACTACTCGAATCCTTCCTACTACGACACCAAATCTTGTTACTTGCTCTTGTCCTTATTATCCCCCCTACCCTACAAATTGTGTCTTCCCCTGTCCGGTTCATACCCCCAGCACTACTATCACTAGCGATCCTTCTGCTCCCACAACTACGAATCTCCCATCGACAACACCCCCCAATCTTGTTACATGTTCTTGTCCCTACTATCCCCCTTATCCTACAAATTGTATTTCTCCCTGTCCGGTTCATACCCCTACAACCGTCATCACCGTCCCGACCGCCACAACTATCACCTCGGCCCTAACCCCGAGTTGTCAAAGTATCACAGTCACAAAAGGAGATTCATGTGCGTCGGTTATTGGGGGGCCGTGTTCGAGTCCTGATGTGAGTTTTCCTTTTCTTTTTTGAGGGTTTTTTTTCTCTTGCTTTCAATCTGATCTTCATCCTTACTCTCATTCTGATCCTCATTCTGATCCTCATTTTCTCGGAACTCGGGGATCGAAATAAGATATGAAGGATGAAGGATGAAGTAAAGAAGTGGATTTTCGTTACTGGATACGATCCGACGAGAACGATGAGATAGAAGAAATCAGAAGAGTGAAAATGTGAAGAGTGAAAATGAGAAGAGGATAAAATGAGGAGAGATGAAGAAAAGAGAAACCAACTCACCGCGTGGTCAAAATAGTGTATATACCTCTCTACCGTGACGATAAATTGTGGGTGTGGGGGGACGATAGGGACGGTGACTAGTGAGTTATTTCTTCTCTACACTCCCCTCTCCCCTGTATCCTTTTCCCGATCCCTCGTTTGATTTCCCCATTTTGTTTGCTCTCTTTTCCATCTCCCATTTCCATTTCCTCCTCTCATTACTATTTCCTCCTCCTTTCCTTATTATAATTCATTTCGTTTCGTTTTCCTTTATTTTCAACTATTCTCTTTCACTTTATTCCCTTTCCCTTTCCTTTTTCTAATTTCTTTTTCTTTCATTCTTTTAAACCTCTTTCCTCTTTTCTACTACTATTCTACTCTCTCATCTTCGTGAACCTCTTTCCCCATTCTATCACCTCCTCCTCTCCCTCCTCCTTCCTTCTTTTTTCTCTTCCCATTCCTATCCCCATCCCTCATCTCCATGTCCATCACATCAAATTCAAATTCAAAATTCAAAATTCCATCAACTAAAAATCAAATTCCAAAACTTCAGATTGCAAAACAACATGTGACAATGGAGCCTGTGGGACTGAGTGGCAGACGATTGCATTGCCATGTCCGACGATTCCGACGATTTTCTGATGAGTGGGTGAAGATGTGTGATATGAAGGGGGGATGATATAAAGAAAAGAGTTTGATATAAGAAAGGGGGAATGAGGGCTAAGAAGAAAAGAAGAAGGGGAGAGGGTTATATGATATGAAAAAGGAAGTGGAAAGAAAGTATTATAGAGATGAAGAAGAAGGAAGAGAGAGATGGGGAAGAGGTGTGAGAGGATGTGAAGAATGAAGGGGAGAGAGTAAAAGGATAGTAAGGAAGTAAGAGTGAGATGGGGAGATGAGGAAAAGAGGAAAGAGTGAGGGGAAGAGAGAGAGAAATGATTGGAGTGGGAGGAGTTTGAGAATGAGAAGATAAGAGAGGGATGTGAGGAAGTGAAGGAGTAAAGGAGTAAAGGAGTAAAGGAGTAAAGGAGAGAGGGAGAGTGAGTATGGATATATGTATGGGAATAGAATGAGATAGGTATGAGATGGAACAGAGAAGGAAGGATGTGAAAGGAGAGTTGGAAAGAAAGAAGAGATTTGAATTCGAATGAATCTGATTGTATGAATTCATTCATTCCTTCATGAATTGACTTGATTGTCTTTTTTTCTAGTCTAGTCTAGCCTAGCTAGTAGATATCTAGATATACATCATCTAGATTTCTCCTGCTGCTATATGTGCATATCTGCACTCTACTACAGACTGATATTTGAGATTTTTCACTGTTGACTCTATGATCACATCTATGCATCATAATCACAGATTCCATTATCTTCAATGTTGTCTGGATATCATAGCATATACGCCCAACAACAAAATAATGTAGTTATAGATATAATACCATCACTCCTCTTCCTCTTCCTCACTGACTTCCTCCCCATTCGCAATAGCTTCCTCTCTAATTCTCTTCGCCCTCTCCCTCTTCTTATCCAATATTTTCTTCAACCCCTTTGCCACATTAAAAACACCACTCGTTCCCGCCCCACAAGCCGCACAACTCGTATCTTTCCTATATCTCTTCAACGCACAGCTCTCACAGAAATAATGTCCACACTTTGTAATAATCGGATCCTTATATTTCTCCCTACACAATATACACGCAAATGGAATATTCTCCAAAAACGCATCATCTTCCTCCTCTTCCTCGTCTCCTTTGCGATCCGCACTTGCGATTTTCGTTCCCCCTAAAGTTTTCTTTCCTTTCGTTACATTCTCCCATTCTTTATCGAGTTGCCAACCTGCTTTATAGTCTTCTCTTGCGTGTAGATATTTGCAATTATCTCCGAATCCACAGAATCCAGTGGTTTTGTAATCTTTACATACATCGGGCGCGAAATCTGTGACAGTTATAGTGCGAATATTGGTTGGTGCTTTGACGGGCCCCACGACGCGGTTGGGGGCATCAGGATTCTTTTGTATGAATTTCGTGCTGTTTGCTAAGCCCTTGTATGTTCCATCAGGGATATCTCCTATTGAAGGTTTCGAACGGGAAGTGCCAAGAAGATTTTTAGCGGAGAGAGCGTCTGTCGCATTCTCATCATACCAATTGCTAGCTCTAGTTGCATCGTCAGAAGCGCGGATAACAGTGCTATGGGATGCGGTATATTTTGTTGCGGAGAGATCAGAGGGAGTGGTTGAGGTATTATTTGTAGATGATGCGGTGATGGCGCCAGTATTCTTCTTTCTTCGTTTTATTCGTCGACCACTTTCATCTTCCGATGAAGAATATCCTGATGTATCATCGTCGCTATCTGCAGGTGGTGGCGTTGCAGCTCTTTTGCGGAAATTGGATTTCCCTTTTGCTGATCTCTTTTTGAAAATAGCTACTGGTTGGGGAGGATCTGAAGGAGCTGTAGATGGTTCGGCATTATCCATTGTTTTCTGGATTGTGTTGAGCTTTGTTGAAGTTAATTGATGGTTTGCTGATGAAGTTACTTGATAAGGTCAATGGATGAAGTCAATTGATGGATCAGTTGATGATGTTTGTTATATTTGAGTGAAGAGTGAGTTTGTCTATTTATTATCTACGAAAGGCTGAGAAATTAAGAAAAGTCCAAGCTGGAGCTTATCAAGCTAAATTATTAGATAATCAGCCTTATCCGGTGATGACCTCAGGCATGATTCGTAAGACCTCGGGAAGCTTTGGAAGCTTCCATATGGGAGATCGATCCTGGTGATCCTAGAAGATGGATTCGAGATGCCATCAAATGGTAAGTCAATGGTAACTCGTAAGAGAGTGTCGGTGTCGGTGTCGGTCCGTAGCTGGATGGATTTATAAGTATGGATTTACTACTTCGTAATTAGCCGTTCACCTCGATTTGCTACAAGGGAATAGCTTGCAATAAGGTATAACTTTCTTTTTCGTCCCAAGTATTGGAGTCCCCTACCGTGCCTACTAGGAAAACATGACTCCAAACAACATGGAATCCTCATCATAATTTTAGTTTATCATGCAAACTTTGATCCAAGCCTCTCCGATAGTTGACACTTCCCCCTCTTTAGTTCAGGTACACTTTGTTTGGCCGATAAGTCTTTTTTCTGCTAGAGAGTTTTGCCCTATCCTCCGTTGCTATTTTGATTTTGATTTTGATTTTGATTTTGATACGCGTTGTTTATCTTCAAGCCAATCAACAGGCCTAGGTACTTTGACATTTTGGTGTTGTCCATCTGCTTATGAACAGCACAAATGGAAACATACACGTAAAGCAGAATGGCTTCTGTGATAGGAAGTTCATTATCCCACTTGGTTGATGAGGCTGTTGACAACAATCAATTGGTAATATCTGTTGCATGTAATTGGCTGCGATGAGTAGAATAGGTGGATGGACTGATTGTGAATGAATGAATGAATGATTGATTGATTGAATATCGACATCCTACCCACCCACACCTAGCTTGAATAAATCAACACAAAAGAAAAGAAAGAAAGTAAACAAATGCATAAACATAAAACACCGCTAGCAATATCTGGGTCCCAGGTAATCTTCTAACTAAATTCACTCAAGACTTATTAGACTTCACTCTACGCTTGCATCCTTGACCGTCATGAGTCTTGACTGTTGATTGAAGTGAAGCGAGAAGCACTTATGAACGTGAACCTCACTCATCCCTCCCCCTCGAACCACAACAGTCACCTGGGAGAGCGAGAAAGAGAGAAGCTTATTATCTTCTCACCTCTGTTCTGTTGTGATCGTTCGTGTTCATACAACACAGTCCACTCATTATTTTCCTACTTAATTAATTTCTCCCCTTCTTTTCCTCGTCGGCTTCTGCATCCAGTCTCAAGATACCTTTGTTTAAACTTCTTCCAAATTCCAAACTGATCGCTTGGACTATATTTCTTCAACAGCTACCCGTACCATTGAAATCAAGGTGCCAATAAAAGATTTAGAGTTACTGGATTTGCTGGATTTGCTAGATTTACTACATATTTCCCACTTTAGTCGCGTCAAGATAAGCAAAAAAGAGAAACCCCCCAATACTTTGTACCCAGGCGGTTCAATCCCGTACGGCACCGATCATATATCAACACGCGAACCTCTTGCCCCTGGCTTCCCCAAGATTGCTCAAGTTCCCCGATCAACAAATCGAAGATCGGACTGAACTGGTTCAACATACAACATACAACATACTCCTTCTACTTCTACCTCGACTCCTACTTATACAACTCCAAATTACCCTATCTGTTGTACAACCTCATTTATTCTCGTCGGACAGATTAATCTTGCTACCGCATTTGTTTCCCCCGATCTACGAATACGAATTAGTCCGGTACTTTTCGAGGGGCCCCAAGTCCTACCTGGACGCAGAGGGTTTCTCAATCTACAAGACTTGTCTTTAATTCAGGACTACTACATCCCTTCTCACACATTAAAATTGCGGTCACCATAATGTCGACCTCTTTGGCAATGGATCACCCGTCAATACTGTCCGACGCCGGAGACAGTAGCAGTAGCAATGATCCATTCATGTCTCCTCCATCGGTTTTGAGCGGCCACCGTTTTTCTCATTTCGATAAACAACTATTCGCGCTTGGCCCTTCAACATCTCCTGAGCAAGCCAAACGGGCACTAGAAGCACATCTTGCAGAGACAGAACGAAGAATCCAGGAGGCTTCGAACCTCGGTACCACCCTTTTACAACAGAGAAAAGATTTGGGAGAGCGCTTGAAGGAAGTTGAGAAACAACAGAGTGAAGGAGATATTACACCAGAGTTGCGACAGAAATTGGTTGATATTGAGAGAGAATATAATGAAGTTGGAAGGGAGACGGCTAGAGCTTTCTTACCAAAGTCAAGAGTACCTAGCAGCGAGATGGGATCATCACCTTTTACTGATAAGGTATAGATAGATCCATGGTTACATCAAATTTACCATTACTAACACAATGTAGCGTTCCGCAAGTCCCTCCAAATTCGAAAGCCATACAACTGCTACTGCTTCTCCTTCCAAATTCAGTGTTCCTAGTCGAAAGCAGCGAAATCAACCTGCGAATAGGGTACATGATATCGAATTCGCGACGGAAATTAGTACTTCATTGTTAGCACAAGTGCGGCATTTACAATCACTTCTAGCAGAGAAGGAAGAATCTCTCAAGACTGTTGCTCTCGAAAAGTCTAGGTTGGAAATCGAGGCCGAAGGTTTTACTCAACGTTTGAGGAGTCTTGATGAGAGCGAAAATAGATACAAGGATGAGAATTGGAACCTAGAAACTCAAATCCATGAGCATTTGGCCACGCAGAAAGAGGCATCGGAACGCGAAAAGAGGTTAACGCAGAGTCTAAGTCTCTTACAAGCCGAAAAGAGCGCAACGCAAAAGGAATTGGACGAGATCAAGTTAAATCATGCGAAACTCCAAGACGAACACACGTCCACCGTAAAGCATCTTGATGTGGAACTGGGTACTGCTAAGCGAAGCTTGTCGATCTTCGAAACCGAAAAGGAGGCTCTTCAGAAGAAGGTTGAAGAATTGATGGGTCAAAATTCAGAGCTTGCGCGAGCAGTAGCACATCATCGAGGACGAGTGGAAGAACGTGAGGCTTCTCAAGGCAGTGGTGAGGAAGAACCTCAGACAACAACTGATAACAACACTCCTGAACACTCTCCACCTCCGTCGCCGATCAAAATGACTCCTAGACATAGCATGCTAGAATCCGAAACTTTGAAGAGCTCTCTTCATCACGCCCATAGAATGATTCAAAATCTCAAGGGTAATATTCATAGAGAGAAAACCGAAAAGTTGGAACTGAAGCGTATGCTGCAAGAGGCTAGAGATGAAATTGAGGTTGCGCGCCGAGGCGAACCACAAGTGGACTCCCCTGGTCCGAGAAGAGCTCGCAAGAATGCTCCTATTCAAGCCAAGAAGCCATTCAAGGTGGGTCAACTCGGTGGTATTAGGAATAGTAGAAGTGAAGTCTTGATCGAAGAGGATCAAGAAGATCACTTTGAGGACATTGACTGGGAGGATGACCATGAACAACCAAGTCCTAGTCGTGGTTCCCGCTCTATGGGCGCTACTTCTGGTGCTGCTATCGCAGCTTCTATGGCAGCTGGCCTCGCCAAGTCTTCTCATAACCTTTTCGGAAGCTCTACTGAACAAAGTGATGCTTTTGAAACGGCAAATGAGCGTTCTACAGAGACGGAAGATTTCCAAACTGGTGTAGAAGATATGACTGGCGCGGATGACACAGACACAGAAACAGAAAAGGGTGGTACCATTCGAGCAAAGGCTTCACGTCAATCTATTGCTTTGTCAAAGGCTGGTAACCGTGATTCTTTCCAAAGCACTGCTTCAACGTCTGAGGATGAATACATGTACGAAGATGCAAAGACGCCTGGTATCCATCCACAACGGCTAAGACTTAAAGTCAGTCGTAATGGCAATCGACGTTCACGTGTTGCTAGTGATGATGCTAAAGCGGAAAGTCCAATTGACTTTGTCGATAGCAATCACGGCACCCCTAAACCGGCTGGACAAAGCTTGTTTGCAGAATTGGGCGAATTAGGAAGCGATGATGAGTCTGTCGCTTCTGGCCCTCCTAGTCGCTATGCATCAAGGGGTAATACTCCACAATCATCGAGACCAAGCACCGCTAGAAATGTTTCCACTGCAATTACCATACCACCAGTACCAAGAATACCAATGATCGATTCTGCTATGATGACCGATCCTTGGGAGCCAGAGCCCCATACACAAACATCAAGTGTGCCAATATTGTCAGGCCTTACCGGTGCCGCACTTGGGGCTGCTGGTGGTGTTGCGGCTGTATTAGGTTTTAATAAAGAACATGATCGAGCGATGTCACCTGAACCTGAATTTGAATCTCAAGTTCTTCAACCTACAATCGATGCCTCAAATAATGAGCCCCTGACCAAGGAAAGTCAGCCAATAGTTTCACATCCACAAATTGAGCCACAGACATCTGAACTTTCACCAGAAGCTGAGGCTACTAGGTCTAATCCAACGGAAGAAGCTTATCCTCTTTCTTCAAAATACTCGGGTAGACCACCTATGTCTGATGCTGCTCATCAATGGCACGATGAACAAATGAAACAGCAAGCAGATGGTTTACTAAAGGTTCAACCGCAACACGATGTAGTAAGACCAGTGTCCACAACATACAGCGATATGAGTTCACAATATGACAATGAACTCATTAATGAAAAATTAGACAGATTCCCATCGCCTCCAATCTCCAGTACCATTCCATTGACGATATCTACAATTCAATCCGAACATATTGAGGCTGTACCAATCCCAGAGATGGAACCAATAGAAGCCGCTCCACTGACGTTATCTACGATTCATTCAGAGCAGATCGACGCCGAGCCAATCCCGATTGAGCCATTGACGATGTCCACTATTCAATCCGAACACGTCGAGCCAATTGTTATTGAGGATGTCCGCTCAGAACCATCTACTTTACCTGCTGTTCTGCCTGATGTTCTCCCATCTACTCCAAAACGCTCACCAAGACCCGATTACTTTTCAATGTCTCCAGGTTTGGGCTTCTCTACCATCCAATCGGTTGATACAGAACCTATTGCACCTCCTACTCCAAGAAGTCCAAAGAGAGATGGTGTTCTGCTCTCTGCATTCCCAGCTTCGGAAAGTAAATCTGTTGTTGAAGACAAATCAGAAGCCATATATCCTATTGTAGAGAGTAAATCTATAGATCAAACCACATCAGAGGAGCTCAGGTCAAAAGATGAGCCACAGACGCCAAAGACTGGCTTCATGAGTTCCGTTTTTGGTGGTTGGAACAAAAAGCAGTCTAGTGCGCCAATTATTGCTGAGGATGAAACTCGTCAATCTCCAAGTCAATCACCAGTGGCAGAAACACCAGAATCTCAACGACCCTTCAAACCAATATCGGGCAATACCACCGAACGGGCTCTCAAGAAGCCTCGCGTTGAGATGTCAGACGAAAGTTCACAGACTGCTTTGACGGCAGAACAAATCGATCAAATGCTCAACAAGAGCAAGCGACAAGATACCATCCTTGCGGAGGACGGACAGAAGGCCAATGCTCACTCTTCGCCACATGCTATTAGCATCCCTGTAGCTCTTAAGACCCACAAGTCACAAGAGAGTATTGGCAGCATTGGTCGTTCCAAAGCAAAGAGTCCTGACACTGAATCTTCCGTAGACTATATGGCTGCCAGAAGACCTACAAGTTCCGGAAGTGGTAGGAATGCATCAATCCCAAGTATTCACCCACCTCTACCCTCAGATCATAAGCAAGTCATTGCTGCTGCTGCTCAACGTACAGGTTCTGCAAATGGATCGGGTGATCACAGACATCTCACTACACTTCCTGAAGACCAACAACAAGAACAACCAAAACGTACCGGATCCTCAACTAGCGCAGGTACAGGTGCTATGGGACCTCCGCCACTACCATCTAGTCATAAGAATCGACCCAAGACCCCAAGTTCTCAAGCTCATGGATCTATGAAGATAATATCAACTTCAAAATATAGAAACCCATCTACTGAGCGCGAAGTACACTCTCCAACTGGCACAGGAAGATCAAGACACTCTTCGGTGTCTTCATTTGCATCTGAGGTGGACACTCGCTTCAATTTACGTGCTGGAGTTCCAATGCCACAAGGAGTAGAGCCAAGTACCGATCCAAGGATGATCAATGCTATCACTCAAACAATGATCGGTGAATATCTTTGGAAATATACTCGCAAAGCTGGTCGTGGTGGGATGTCTGAAAACCGTCATCGACGTTATTTCTGGGTTCACCCATATACGAGAACATTGTATTGGAGCGATAGAGATCCTTCAACTGCTGGTCGTTCGGAGCTAAAGGCAAAGAGTGTAGCCATTGAAGCTGTTCGAGTTGTAACTGATGATAATCCAATGCCACCTGGATTACATCGTAAGAGCTTGGTTATCCTAACACCTGGTCGAACTGTTCAATTTACTGCCAGCACAGGACAACGTCATGAAACTTGGTTCAACGCACTGTCATACTTACTTCTGCGCACAGGAGAAGATGCTGTGACTGATACTGTTGAAGTCTCGGGAGCGCTGACAAGCGAAGATGTTGATGAGTTCAATCCTGGATATGGTCATGCACACCTAGGTAGTAGACGAGGAGCTCCATCCCTTTCATCATACAACAGTCGAACTACTCGTAATGACTCGCCAATAAGCAAGGATAGAAGATATTCTACTATGCATCCTCGATTAACATCAAGGCCTTCAAGACCAACTTTGGCCTCAAACACTTTCTCTCGACTTAGCAATTACCTATTGCCTGGTGATGGAAATAGATCTTTCTCTGGTCGAAGGAGCCGAAGCGTCAACGGGGCCCAAAGCATCTATGAAGCTAGCGAGGTTCACGATAGTGCTGAGGATTTAAGAGAACAAATCGAAAGAGAGGATCGGGAATCTGACAGATTAGAGAACGTACGAGCATGTTGCGATGGTAAGTGTTACTTGTAATGTGGTATCCAAAGATTTATCTAATTTGGTGATAGGCAAACACGATGTCGGTCATCTTCATCATGAAACTCCCAAAGGTCGCCGAACTATGAGTGCGGCATCAGGCTCTTATGGACAGACACATCGTGCTCCAAGTCGAACCAGTCAAAGGCCAACCGAACCAACTCAACAGACATAATCTTTTCATCAACGATCAAATTTCTAGATGTAATCACAATCTTCAACAACTTTTACGAACTCATGCCTCTTCTTGAATTTCACTTTCGCCCAACTCGATAAAAAAACAAGACTCCGTTTTTCCTTCATTTTCGGCAAAGAATGTTTAACGGCTGCCAGGACAACTTCCAAACCTATCTCATTTGTCATACTTTTCTTCATTCGTCTATCCATTCATCCATTCATCAATTTTCATAATTCCTTCCGTCTCTGTTGTCACTATTGTTTATCGTTCTTTGGGGTTTAAGTCAATGATATCCTTTCAGGCGAAGGAGTTTTTTTTGGCCATTATTTTTCGATGGACCATAATGGGCTTATTAGTGCACTATGGTAGCGGGTGGGGGCAGACGGTGCTATGCGAAATTGTTTCTTGTATTGTGGGATGCATTTTATCATTTTATCATTTTATCTCCCCCAAAATGCACAGGGGAGGTGAAGCGTAGATATGTGGATGGGATGGGATAGGATGGAATGGACGGATGAGGGAAATCTTTTTTTAACTACATTTTCTTGTGTTGTGATAGGGGTCACCTTTTACTAAATGTATTTGAGAGGAATGAAATACAATAAACCGAGGTTTGAGATTTAAATTGAAATGATGAGAACGTGCTTTATTACACACTTGATCCAATCTAAACTTGACATGACTGACTTGACTCTGATTCGAGGAAGCTGACTGCCGTGATACCCTTTGTAGTCATTATTAGCTTCAATGATCGGCGTCTCTTTTCTTCAAAACCTAGGTATGTAATGCTTGTGCTCCTCGCACCACCAATAGATAGAAGGATCTACTGGATTACGGGGATCTCGGGTATGCATCAAACTGGATTGAGTTGGTTTGATTTATAAATATGTGGGCTCATAGGTCCGGTTCTCACATGTAATAACAAGACTATTGCCGAGGACCGATCGGTATATAGTGGAGAGACGTTGTGAGGGGTTTTCAGGTGCTGTCAGTCACATACTAGGCAGGTACTACTTTACAAGACTAAGTGAGTCTAAAATGATTTCTAAGTATAAAGAATCGCCCACGTCAACACGATACGGGAGCTAATGTAGCACCTTTAATTCTTATACTCAGTTGAAGTGTTTCTCTCCTTGAGCGTTTTGTGAGTTGGTTTGGAACGAGATAGTTTTCATCTTTCTGAGTGTTAGGAAGTTTGTTTCTTGTCTATGATTGATTGACTAAAGATTGTTGTGCAATATTTTTGCAGATATATTCCGGGCAAATTGGCGTTTGTGTTCGGGTTGCTCTTGTACTTTTCCCGCGTCCAGTCTTCAGTCTTCAGTCTTCAAGCAACACATCATCTACCAACCATCTAAACAATCCCCCAATATGAAGACCAATTATACATCCATCATGGATCACTTCTCCCCCAGCAAATCCCTTACAACCAGCATCCTCTTCATCTTAACCACCGCCTTTCTCATCTACAAACTCATCCAAACAATCCTCCTCTCCAACCAACGAAGAAAATTCGCCAAACAAAACCACTGTCTCCCACCCGCCTCCTATCCCCACAAAGATCCCATCTACGGACTCGACCTCTTCGTCTCCAATGTTCTCGCAGCTCGAAAAGGTAAATTCATCGAGACGACTCAGAAACGTTTTCACGCCCTCGGTGTACACACTTATTCCTCGATATTCCTCGGCACGAAAACGATCAATACCGTTGATGCGGAAAACATCAAAACGGTATTGGCGACCGGGTTCAAAGATTTCGAGTTATCGTCACGCAGAAAAAGAGCTATGATGCCGATCTTTGGAAAGGGGATTTTTATCTTGGATGGGACGGAATGGGAACACTCTCGCGCGATGCTGCGGCCGAATTTTGTGAGGAGCCAGGTTGCGGATTTGGATGTTTTTGAGAGACATATTCAGAAGTTGATCAAGAGGATTCCGGAGAATGGCGAGACGGTGGATTTGTCAAAATTGTTTTTTATGTTGACGATTGATTCGGGTGAGTTTTTTAGGGGGTGGAGAGAGGAATGCATGATGAGAGCATGGGAATATGAATATGATATACTGATGTTGGAGATTTAGCTACGGAATTCTTGTTTGGTGAAAGTACAGAGACCTTGGATGAAACAAAGGTTGATTCGGCTGGGCATCGATATTCGGAAGCTTATGATTATGTGAGTTGTGGGCTTTATTAATATCTATTAAAGTAACTGTGCTAACTTTTACAGCTTGGTGAACAAACCGGCAGAGAAGTTCGTTGTAAGCAAGCCCCAAATCTCTAAGGGCCCTCCCTTTACCCTTCATGCTTCACGAGAAAACACAAGATACTGACCAATAATCAGTGGGTAAACTAGCTACTCTCTTCCACGACAAGAGATACCAAGATTCTATAAAATACGTTCACTCCTACGTCCGCACTTACGTAGACAAAGCCCTTGCTCTCCAGACCTCTGCCCCCGCTCAAAAATCCGAATCCACAGATCAAGACCGCTACATCTTTCTTGAGCAACTCGCCAAATCCGGCTACAACGCCTCCAAAATCCAAGCAGAGTTACTCAACATTCTACTCGCTGGAAGGGATACTACTGCAAGTTTACTTACCATTCTCTTCATGATACTTTCACGTGAACAGAATGTCCTTGCAAAATTGAGACGGGAAGTTATGGGTCTAGAAGGGAGACCTCCAACTTTTGAGGAGATAAAGGATATGAAGTATTTGAAATGGTGTATTAACGAGAGTTAGTTTTCCCCATTTCAATTTGTCTTATCTCTTCATTTCCTTCTCCAGAAAAACAACTAACACACCCAAGCAATGCGACTTTACCCCATCGTCCCAACCTCAAGTCGCGTCGCCATACGCGACACGATACTTCCCCGAGGCGGCGGACCCGATGAAAGATCTCCAACCATGGTTAAGAAGGGGACTTTGGTACAATACAGTTCCTACGTCTTGCATCGAAGAAAGGATATTTACGGCGAAGATGCCGATGAGTTCCGACCTGAGAGATGGGAGAATTTGAGAGTGGGGTATGTAGTTGAAGTTTGATGTCGATTTTTGATAATAAGAAATCTTACTAACTTATCATGTGAAGCTGGGAATATATCGCGTTTAGTGGAGGACCGCGTATTTGTATTGGACAGCAGTTTGCATTGACGGGTATGTTTCTTGTATTTGTTTGTGTCTGGAGCTTGGAATGATTTCTTGTTTCTTGTTTCATGTTTCCAGATGAGATGAAAAAACTGACAAGGAGAGTAGAAGCATCATATACCACGATTCGCCTTTTGCAAGCTTTCTCCAGAATGGAAGCGAGAGATCAAAACCCCTTTACGGAATGGTTGACATTGACTATGTCGAATAAGGGGGGATGTAAAGTTGGAATGTTTAAATAGGTTGGATGTGAAGAGGAGAGAGGGGGGGAAGCAATGAAGCCGGTATGAATAAAAAAGGAGGAAGGAAAGGATCCAAAAATGTCAAGGGAGCAAGAGATTCATATAGTTGGATTAGGATAAACACAGAACAAGCCACTCTCTCTTTCCCAAATGCACACCAAAATCAAATATAACTTCATCATTTTCTGTGTGCAACCAAACCCTTCTTTTCCTCTCCCGTGAGATGCACGAGACGTCATAATCTAACCCACCTCCATACTCTACTTCAAGATGTTCAAGATGTAAAATTGCGAAAGCGTATAGTATAAGAATTATTCACCCTCACTAGATAAATCAACACTAAACTCGTATGCGCCACATAACATAATCTCGCAACACAACACAACCTCTCCATCTCCATACAATATAATACAAACCAATACAACCAGAAACCCCCCCTCTCATCTCTCACCAACCACCGCTAATAAGATATCAATCTCTATCTCCCAATCTCTCATATTCCACTCGAAACCCGAAACTCAACCACGCCCGATGACTCGCACATTCAACAAGATAAGCAATTCAGCTGCGCATTTCACTTTGCTTGCGCCAGATGGATGGTTTTCCATATTGAACAAACCTATTGGATGGAATGGAATGGAATGGAATGGAATGATATCATATCATATCATATACACTATACATAGCACAATCCTCCCACCTTCTAACCATTCTTCCACCACGAGTTCACGAGTCCATGAAAGTTTTTTTGGGGGGCGGTGATTTACCTATCTATCTATCTAACCCAACTTAAAAAAAATCACCATGCCAAAACATTCATACAAATCATACCATACCGTGCCATGCCACAGCATCTCAACCTCACTCTCCGTCCATCTCGACGCAGGAAGATTCGCGCATGGCATATGTAAATCGAGAGCGAGCTACCCATTCATATGACTGACTACTCTCGCAGCTTCACCTCCTTCACCAAGAACTTAAAAGGTGTAAGGTTTTTTTCTTTTTCTTTCTATCAAAAAAGAAAGAAAGAAAGAAAGAAAGAAAGAAAGAAAAAAAAAAACAAAACATAAACGCCATCCCAATAAATCTCCACTCACCACATGGGGAACGCACTTCTCACCCGTCATTGCATAGACCATGCGTTAGTATACATTCATTCAGCTTTTTTATTTGCATTGTGGATTATGATTGCGATTTAGTGCTCACTGCTTAGAAGATCCATGGGGCCAATGTATGTAGGTAGGTATGGATGGATCTTTTAGACTGTGGACTAAGGGAAGCGATATACATGCATGCATGCATGCGTATATAGTTACTATGAGTCTATGATATCCAGTCGTATTGCTATTGGGATATGTATCTCTGAGAAAGTAGATGGAGATTTCTCTATCAAGTTAAGCGCTGTATTATTTTTGGAGAGTATGAACATGAGGAGAGCGATATCATATTGTAATATAGATTGATTTTCAATAAATATAAAAGTATTTGAAACATGCGACAGTAATAGAAGCGCTGATGATTCGGACCACTTGGTGAAATACCATGGCTTGATATGAAACAATTAGAAACACGAGAAAATGATTTAGCTGTCAGTCATGGTAATGTAACATCAGCTCTTCCAATTGAAAACCACAACTGGAAATCGACATCTCTGTCCACAGAGCTTTAGTGACATGGACAATGTGATACCAAATCAGCGCCCGGCTCCTAGAATGGGAAATAGAGCTGAAACCTATTGAGGCTCAGTAAAGACCTAGAGGATTCAACTCGTCTAATACCAATAAGGAACAACTTGCACCAGATGTGAATGCAGATCAAAAATGATTTGAATGTCGGTACATAAACCCATCATTTTTCAGAGGTGTTGGAATTTGACATAAACAATGCGTTATCTCGTGAGACCCGAGGAACAGGTCTTTAAAGTCATCTTATCTGAGTTCTCTCACGCCGACCAATGCATTTGTACAACTTGGAATGACCTGTTCCCCATGACGATATGTATGTGTGCAACGCTTGAATGGACAAATTTTAAAAGCTTGCTATGCATTCCAAAATTCGGTATGCAAGCGGTGGGATGAGTAAATTGGAAGAGTATTGTAATCACTGTTAATCAAGTAGGATCAAAACCGGTCATATGGTGGTTGAATCGATTGGTCAAGGAGATATCCAAGGAGGGGTGTGAGTCGTTCAACAATGAGGGAAGACATGCGGGGTAATTTTGACTTCCCATAACCGCCCGGCTGTCAGCAATAAGTGCATTTATAATCCAAGGAGAAAACGAAAATTCGCATTTCTTTTTGCACTTGGACCCGAGATTTAGCGTAACTTTGATGGTGTCGGCCTGCAGTGGATATCAAAGCCTTTAGAGATTCAAAGTGCATACATAGAGTTACACTGAACAACACTTCGTTGCATATGGATGACTGTTGACGAATGCTTCATAACGCCACGATCCTTCGAAATGGGGGCGGAGCGCATTATAGGCTGTGCTAAATATCATGCTTAAAACTATGAGGCGGTCAGCGATATCGTGGCATATAAGCTACTACCTGTACAACATACATACCTTTACATACTTCATGACTTTGACAATATAAAACGCGACTGCATATGCATCTGCACAAAGAGGTCAGAGACTCAAGAACAATCTTTTGTTATTCAAGCATGGCTTAAACTGAGCTCAAATCATGGAGTACCCCTGGACGAGTTTCAACACATCGTCTGTTTGCGCGGTAATTAGTGTAATGATTCGTCAATTGGTCTTTCAATAACGCCCAGTTCCCTTCTGCTGTAGCCAAGTCAAAGCAGGTTATGAGATATATCTTATCGCTTTGACCGTACCTTCACCGAGGAGCTTCGCGGTCTCGACTAGGAAATAAGCATCGAGTGACTCGATTTGTCGTGTGGTATCTTGTGGTTTGTTCATACAATTAAAGGCAAAAGGTTCGCAAAATGGTTCGCATCCTGCCTCGTTTAGATTTGCGAAAAACTTCGTCAAACTGTTTCCCCACATTTCGAATAGGAAAAAGGTCCAATTAACTATGTACGTGTTGCCGTTGTAGATAATCTGATATCTCATCTTATTGTGTTTAGAAAAGGATATGGCACGAAATCTTTTGAAGATTGAATCTAATCTTCAAATAGAGTATGATTTGTGTAAGAGCGTGCGTAAAGCGTGGAATGTGTTGACGGGTGTAACACTCTATGATGCGCGATACTGGTTGATAGATCGGTGTTACCTTGGGATAAATCCATGATTTCTTGAAATCTGCCTACCACTTTCGCCCCGATAGATTGTAGAGCCCCAGACACAGGGCGAGCATAGCCTTCTGCATAGACCTTGAAAAGAGTTCGTAAGCTAAAGCCTGATCGCATGACAGAGTTGAACCGGGCGTTAGATAGAGAAAAGATAATACCATCCATCCAGTAAACCCGAAACGGTCATTGAATGAGGATTTCTTTACACTGTTTGGCTGTCTTGTGGCACTCATACTCGGTGACTGTTCATTAGTGTGACACTACCTCACCTATTGATTCCACCTCTCCTTTTGTAAAATTAAACCCAGAGAACAAAGGTGCTAATAATGTAAATCTTCGCACCTTCCTTTTCCTATTTAAGATCATCATAAAGCCTCACTTGGCTATCTAGATACCTAGCTTTCCGGTGTCCCAAAGCAGTTGCGGCTTAAACCCCCAAAGTTTAGTTTCTAGTTAAAGCCCCGCTGTCGCCCACATTCCCTTTCAAAGCTCGTAATCTTAATTTCATCGATTCTTGATATTAGTCGATACTTTAACGAAAACTTCATCTTAAGACTCACGTCAATTTGTGACAAGATCATTACTACGGCATCGTCGAAATGAACCATCCTCAGCCTGGTGTCCCTCCGCCTCCACCTTTTGGTAAGCTTCTTCAATAAATTTACTTTATCAACCAATGACATAGTTAACACAGAATCTAGGAGCAATGGGACGTGGTGTTCCGGGCCCCCATCCCCATCCACAAGGAGGAGGTAGACCAGGACCGCATCCAAATTTTCAGGGACCTCCTCCAGGTCACCAAGCTCATCCAGGTCACTCAGGTCACCCAGGTCATCCAGCCCAGGGCGGTCCACCGCCTGGCGGACGTGGCCAGCCTCTGCCGCAAATGCAAATGCCTATGCGACCACGATATGAATCTTCCCATGTAGTGGATCTGAACGCCTCAGAGAAACGGCCACTTGACGATGCAGCGTACAGAAAGTTGTTGACAACACACACGGTCTTTTCGATTAGAAAAGTTGTACCGACTGGAAAAGAAAAATCCACCTGGGCAAAAGCTGTGGTAACTGAAGAGGCTTTGTCACAAGAGGACATTGTTGCACAGTTGAAAAAATTGAAGAGCTCCCCACAAACGATAACAGATAAAAAAGGGGCTTTATTTCCGAATCAGCAAGGCCAAGTAAATAAACTTCTGGATCGGTTGAAAACTGAGGAATCAGATCAACACTTTGATTGGTCCCTTGTCCAGCTTGATAGAAGAGAGAGGTCTTCCAACAAAGTTAGAGAAACCGTTTTGATCACCGTCATAGTGAAACGTTCGCCCAGAGATGAAGTTGATGCCACTGCGCTTTTCACCATCATCGACAGACAAAAACAAGAAAAGTTAGCACACTTGACGAGGCCTCCAATGCAACATCAACATCAATCCCAAACCCAACCCCAATCTCAACCACAACCACAACCACAACCCCAAGGCCAAGGCCAAAATCAATGTCAACCTCAATTCAGACCGCAAAACGCTCCGCCCAATCCGAATAGCCAACCTCAAGCACCTATAGGAATTCCCCATACGTCTGGCCAAAAGGGTGGCGATCGTGGCCGATCAAGAAGCAGAAGCAGACAAAGACCGACTCGTTATCAGTCAGACTCGAATTCTGAATCCGAATCTGATAGCGACACGTTCTCTACAGGAGCTTCGACCATCAGTAGTTCTTTGGTCACTAGCATTAGTTCTCATTCTGATGGACGCTCAAAGAAGTATAGTTCACGCAGTAGACGAGGTCGTAGCCAAAGTAAACGTCGTCCACGGGAGCACCACAAGAAATATTACGCCCACAGAAGCGAGTCACCTGAGCCAATATTTCAAGAATTTCGAAGGGGTAGTCATCCAGAATCTCCCTATGTCGGAGAAGCTGTCCCACTTTCCGCTCCCAATGCCATTGTACAAGCATTTCAACAGGGTAGAGAAGAAGAAAGGGCTGCTGCTCAGTATTACCTTTCTCAGTCGCACCAACCAATCATCATTGATGAGCCATCAAGAGCTGTGGTACCTGCCGGCCGTCGCGAACTTGAATATGATACCATAGCGCCGAGATATCCTGCGCGTCAACATGCAGAACTCCCAATGATAGAAGCTCCTCGATATAGAGAACATCAATATTCAAGGCCCGCACCTCGATATCGAGATGACCAATACAACGAAAGACACCTCGATGACTTATATGAGGATGATTCTCCACCTCTTACCATCCGGAAAGTAAGATCAGTTCCACGAGAGGCCAATTATAGACGTCGCTTTTCTGACGCTGAGAGCTATATTGATCGAGATTCAACCACAACAAGAATCCCATTCACAGGTCTTCGCCCTCAAATCCCCCAATTTCGCCATCATCCATTCATTCCAAGAAGTCCACCACGACATAGATATGGTTCCAGTTATAGCAGTGATAGTGCGTACGCAAGTTGAGAGATCTGTTATTTCGGTTGTTTGCTTTTGGATAACCTTACCTTGCTTTCTTTAAAGTTTGAGACCTTGTGTTATTATTTTGATGTTTTTAGTCTTGATGATTGATGTGATGGATGAGTTAGTAATAACTGCTGTGTATCATTTGCTGCTGGGAATTTGGTGTTGGTGTATGGCAAGAGGATGGACCAACGGCATAGGACTTTATATCTTTGGCCTAGAAGGACAATGGACGATTTGACGACTGATGCTAATAAAGTGCATCTCCTATGTGCTAGGTACCGGTACACGTGGCATCAAAAGTTATTATAATGAACTCCTTACTTTTTGGAATCTCCTCCTTTGGTCAACATGTGAATCGCGTTAATTGTGAGTCTTGGATCCATACGGGAAGTCGAGTTCTTATGTTAATAGCATTTTTGAATTGATTGTGCCATGCCGTGAGATGAGTTGAGTTGAGCACATTGATGCCCAATATCTTGCACAATTAGTGGTCCCGAGTCAATGCATTTCGATCCATTGAAACATCACGAGAGGTCAATTCATTGGCAGTATCGGTGAGATCAATCCAGCCAATCTCGGCCATCATGTCATTGTGACCAATTTTTGAAGCAACGTTGTTTGATTGAGGCTTGATCATTTTATCAAGCTTGCAATTGGATTTGGAGGAAACAACCTTGATAGCAATTGTATGTTCAAGACGAGAGGAGGTCCTATGTCGTCAATATTTCCACGGTTCTATTAAACAGGTGGATTGATGAACTTCGTCGAGGTATTTGAAACCATGGCGGCATAATGATACAGATGGCAAAAGATGAATGGCTGATTTGTTTCATTGATCCAACTATGTCTTGACACCATTTTCGTTTTGATGGAGAGGTTGCCGACGGGAGAGAATTGAGCCTGGTATACTCAATACATGCCAGTTTCCGTACTGTTTTTTTTGGGTCCAATGACGATTTCTGGCGGGGCTTTAGATTTCTGAAGAGAGTCAGCTCCTGCCGAGAGCTCACCCCACTCCGAGTCCGACCGATTCATAAGAAGTTTGATATCAATCCGTACAAAACTTCTACAAGTAAAAGAATCATATCAAAAAGACAATCTTAATTTCATCAAAAGTCAATTTATACCCAAATTCATCTAAACCATTTTTCGTATTACCAGAAAACTAGCAACCATGCCTCGTCAATTCTTCGTCGGAGGTAACTTCAAGATGTGAGCTTGTGTTTCCCCCCACCAAGCAAAAAGGATTTCAGCTAATTTTTGGTCTCATCAGGAATGGATCTGTTGAATCCATTAAGAAGATTGTTGGAAACTTGAACGATGCTAAGTTGGACCCAAATACAGGTATGTATTCACCCCAGTTTGTGTTCATCCATTTGTTGAGGATGGAGGGGAATTTGTTGAACCTACATACCCCTCTATCAAGCGCCTGCACTTCATTCTGGAATTTTGCTAACACTTTATCAAATTAGAGGTTGTCATTGCTCCACCTGCTCTTTACCTTCTCCTTACCCGCGAGCACTTGAGACCTGGACTTGAGGTCGCAGCACAAAACGTTTTCGATAAGCCAAATGGAGCTTTCACTGGTGAAATCTCCGTTGAGCAACTCAAGGACAGCAACATTACCTGGACACTTCTCGGACACTCCGAGCGTCGTGTCATTCTCCAAGAAGATAATTCATTTGTAGCATGCAAGACCAAGGCTGCTCTTGATGGAGGAGTCGGTGTTATTTTCTGCTGCGGAGAGACCCTTGAGCAAAGAGAGTCTAACAAGACAATCGAGGTTGTTACCGCACAATTGAAGGCCGTCAAGGATAAGGTTCAAGACTGGTCAAAGATCGTCATTGCATATGAGCCAATCTGGGCTATTGGTACCGGAAAGGTTGCTTCCACCGAACAAGCACAAGAGGTACACGCCGCTATTCGTTCCTGGTTGAAGAAGGAGGTTAGCGAGAAGGCCGCAGAGGAGACCAGAATCATCTACGGTGGAAGTGTTAGCGAGAAGAACTGCAAGGATTTGAGCAAGCAAGAGGATATTGATGGTTTCTTGGTTGGAGGTGCTTCATTGAAGCCAGCTTTCGTTGATATTATCAACAGCCACTTGTAAGTGGTTTTAGGATTTCATGAATTACGACTGTATATTGGGTATTCAACCCCACCAGGCAATAAAAAAAGTCCTGGCAGTATGATATGTTTTTAGGAAATATCCACTACCTTGAAGCCACTTCTAGTCTCATGCTCGTTATATGTGAGAATCCTAATGTATCAACAGATCTGTAAAAGGTGACAGTAAGATTTGAAGTATTATTCAAGATTTCGGAATGTTTGATCTGAAATTTGGCAGGTAGTTTGACGGGTCTATCATAGCAAGCTTACTTGCACAGCACTCTTCATACTTTGGGCAGCACCTATGTTTTTCACACAGATCAAATGCTGGTGATCCAATCCTCAGAGTTTTGATATCCTTTCTTGTGATAAATGTCTCGTTTATTTTTAAGGGGAATAGTTCCTGATATAATCAGACTTATATCTACCGCCAATCATGACTATAACAATGAAATAGAGCTCAAGAAATGGCTTAACGGAAAGACAGTGAGATTGACCAGATGCTAGCATCGACAAGAATGTCGATAACATGTAGAAAGCGTAGCTTCAATAAGTTGCTCAACGTAACCATAACCATAACATTCATACAGTCGAAATCTTCGACATAGGACCATCGGAACCCATGATTTCCTATCCTTAACGCCAGTAATGTTGTCATGTATAATACAACAATCTTCTTATGTTCCCCCCTCAAACCTTAATTCCACCACCATGATAAGGACTCCAAATACCTCTAACACTCTCGTTGATACTCTTCACAGGCTTCTTGACTCTCTTCAGCTTTTCTCCACTCGCATCTCTGAGCAGCTCCGCCTTTTTCAAAATTTGTCCCATTTCTAGATTCCTGACGCAAATGGCCTTCTCGCGACCATTGATATAATGTCCAATAATGACTGGGTGTTTGGCAGGTCGAGGGGAGACGGTAATTTCGATTTGAGGATTGGCTTTCGCGAAGCCCGGTAAAGAGTTTTTGATGAAGGTACTGTGGCAGTATGAGCATTGGAAAAATTCCAAAGTTCGAGGACAAAACTTACTTCATGCCCTTAGAACTGCCAGCCCAATCGCAGTAATGAAAATCCATTTTTGTACATTGGAGAATGAAGGCGCCGACGCCATTCTGGTTGAGACGTTAGTAATCTAGAATTGCCTGCGAGAATCGATCATATGCATACCTGGCCAATGGTTGTTTTCCTTAATCCTGTAATCCTCATTTTGACTGTTGTGCTGACGTCTAAACATAAATCCTAAAATCCAGACAGCATTTGACATATTGAGGTTCAAGTGAAATAAATTCTTGATCACGTGGTTGTGATATTTTAAGCTTAGGAGCTCAAATCTCAGGTTACCATTAGGCGTCCTTACTGCTGCGACGCGACACAGTTCCTCACAATTATCTTCATCATATAATTCAGCAGCATTGTTTTGCAGTTATCCTAAAGACTGTAAATTCATCATTGCGAAGACTTTGGGAATCGTTAACAGCCCACAATGACCGATAAACTCCCACCAAATCTCCTTGCGCTTTTCGCGCCTCGACCCCCTTTGCGATGGGTTCCTCCTTCAGACTTTGCCCCAGAGGATCGCAAAACTGCCAATATCACTGGCCTTGCTGCCTTCCTCCCAGCTCTTCAGGAGTACAAGGAGACTGATGTTTACGAGCCTACCGAGAGCTGGCTTCAGAGAAAAGACCGTGTCAAGCTGGAGAAGAAGGCCGCACACGAAAAAATTATTCAGGAAGCCCCAAAATTATGTGAGGGCCACCCTATATGTCCTACATCACCATTTCATCACCCTCTTATTATCCTTGAGTTTTCTGAACTATTGCTAATGTCTTTGCTTGTGCAGTCAAACCATCTGAGGATCCAAATATTCGAGGAGATGCTTTCAAAACACTTATTGTCAGTCGATTGGATTATGATGCCACTGAAAAGGACTTGGAGCGCGAGTTTGGTCGATTTGGACCAATCGAGAGAGTAAGTTAACTTCAATTGTTCCGCCTAGTATATCGTGCTAACCTTCGTATTTTACAGATTCGCATAGTTGTTGATACTCATCAACATGAGAAGCCTGGAAAGAAGATCAAAAAGCATCGCGGTTACGCATTTGTAGTTTTCGAACGAGAGAAGGACATGAGAGGTAAAGCCGAACATAACCCCATATTCCCCATAAACAAATTGCTCAACTGCACAAATGGCATAAAGATTTGGTTATCCCACTTCTTGTCTTTGCTTTTCCTTTCTCCCTGTTACCCAGATCAAGGTATATGAATATGGGTAAATGACTGACAAACGCGCCTTGCTCGCGCTTCGTGAATAGCTGGTTTAGAAAACTGTGACGGCATCAGAATAAAAGATCGTCGAATCAAGGTAGATGTCGAAAGAGGCCGAACCGTAAAAGGTTGGTTACCACGTCGTCTCGGAGGTGGCCTTGGAGGTCGTGGATATACAAAGTCTGCTTCTTCACGACCAATGGGTCCAGGTGGATTCAATGGTCCTCCTGGAGGCCCTGGCGGTTTCCGAGGTGGCTTCAGAGGTGGATTTGATGGAGGCAGAGGTCGTGGTGGATTTAGAGGAGGGTTCGATCGAGGTGGATTTGGAGGAGGAGGAGGTGGTGGTGGTGGTGGTGGACGAGGAGGAATTGGCTTTCAAGGCCGTGGAGGATTCGGCGATAGAGGTGATCGTGGTGGGTATGGAGGCGGAGGATCCAATGGCTATGCTCCTCCTAACGCACCAGCTGGCCCAGGTGGTGGTGGCCGTGGAGGTTTCAATGGAGGTGGTGGTTTTGGTGGAAGAGGTGGTGGGGGCTTTGGAGCAGGTTCACCAGATCGAAATGGTCCTGGAGGATCAAGTGGTGGGTATGACTCTCGTGGAGGCCGCTCATATGATGACAGATCCGGCGGATACCGTGGCAACAGCAATCGTGGCTATGGTGATCGCGATGGAGGTCCTCCTCGTGGAGGTAGTGGCAGTAATATGGAGCCGGTAAGACCCCGAGATGGTAGTGGATACCGTGATCGCGATGGACCCAGAGATGGAGGATATGGCGGACGACCACGCGAAGAAGATTCACGAAAGAGACCTTATGACAGTAATGGTTATGAGGAAGATCCTCGTAAATTGCGAAGATATTAGATACAATGAGACTGGCTGGTGGGTTCAACAGTCTTGTGGTGGGTTTTCTTCGAATCTTCCATCTTTTCTCCCTTCCTCAACAGGGGTAAGCGGTTCTTCGATCTCAAGTTTTCACCCAAGGTAGTGTTGTCGCCTAATCTACTTGCATGCTTTTCGACGGCGTTTTCATAGTACGGACAAAAAGCAGTTTTCACTTACGACGAACCTTTTCCCACATGATAACTATACATGTCAAAGGGCTTTACAACTTTTCGACACTCAGCAATTCGACATTTCATTTCTCTTGAATGGTTTGGTATGATGTGGTTGGTTTTTCTTTAACGCATTTGGGGCTTACTTTGATCATGGGAGGTACGATCAGAGGTAAGAAAAAGGTATTACCTGACCATCCTCGTCTAGTGCTTTTGCAAATTTGTCATTTAGCTGGGATTACTGTTTGTATGATCAAAGGATGAAATATGAAGTTCAAGGGGTAAGATGGATAGCTCAGGCATAGCACTCAGACAATTGCTGTTTTAATTTTTGAAGTACACACATATTCCATAACAAAAACGTGGCGCCGGTAAACGCCTCATAGTCTAGCCTTCTTTTGACTGTATGATAGTTTAGAACAGAAACGACGATCCGAAATGCCTTTTTTGCTTTCTTTAATATTTTTACTCGCTCATTTCCGTAGCCTCGATTTCCGTTACTTCTTGATTGGATGCACTCCAGTATCTATTTCAAAGTTAGAAAACAATTATGTGAGAAGAAAATGAATGAAGACTTACGCAAGTAATTGAACACTGAAATCCGCAGTAGCCACACCAAACAACTTTAATAATCTTGTTTGCCTACTGTCCAACACATCACCTTCATTACAAACACAGTAAGGATTCTCCAAAGTAATCTTTCCCTTAGTCAAGGTAGTCGGTACATTCAATCTTCTCAGTTCTGGTTCCAAACTATGCGCCATGGGGACATCGTTCTCGGCGGCGATCTCTCCTCCCATACTGTAGACTATTCCTGCGGGAATGGTGAAGTTCCTGCTAGCTGCTGTGCCGGCGCGAGCGAAATCTGTTTTGGAGAGATCTTGGAAGAAAGTGATAATGGAGGAGGGTTCGCGGTTGGTGAAGAGAAGTCCAACGTTGCCGACTAGATGGGGAGAGAGGAGGGAGGTGTTGGGTTGATATTCGGAGGAGGCATCGCTGCCGAGGGCTTTGGCCATTACTTTTGTTTTTCCAAAGAAGAGTCTGATGGGGATGGGTGTTAGTATTGTTTTTTTGTGGTAAATGTCGTGGTTGAGAATTTCCGATCCGATTGACTCCTGGTGCTCGAGTCTTCAATTGAATTCCCCTCTTCTCTTCTCTACATAACAATTTATCCTTCTTCCCTTTCTTTTCTCTCGCTTTGGCTCAAGTCATCCGCCATCATCATATAATATAACATCATATCATATCATCTCCATCCCCAAAACGACAGCACCCCTCGAATTTCCAAATCGATCAAAACAAGAACTAGAGAAACAACATAATACATACCGACAATCACTCAATTCATTCCTAACATCTTTCAAATAGGTATTCCTCATATTATCCACACTAAACACAAAACAATGCTGATAACTATCGAGCGATTCGCGCACATTGGCAAAGAGTTTGAGCGAAAGCTCCTTTCCTTTCTTATCGACTTTGGTGAGATGAACGACGCGCGCGCGCTTGGATTTAGGCATTTTGATTATATGTTGTGGGGTGGTTGTGGTTGGGTGAGAAAGGGTGGTGTCGCTGAAGAGGTGATGAAATTTAATAGAGAATTGCGGTTTTCGATATGGATGGAGGTAATTTTTTATTTTTCACAAGCTTGCGATTGATAGTTGATAAGATTTCAAACTAGACTTATCGAGGTTTAGTGGGGTGAAGTTATGCAGGGATCGGAGTGGGGGGTTAACGTTGTTCCGGATTTTTATGCTTTGAGCTGAGATTCAATTGGTTTTATTGATTACTTTGTTTAAGAATTGGTGCAAGTTTTGTTTTTTTTCTTCTCTGGATTTTAGAGTTTGATGTGTTGATTTCTGGGTCAGGCTTGTGCGGAGATGTTGGAGTTCATGGATTATGTGCAGTTTGCATTTTACAATGCGACGAAGTGGAATTATGAGAATTCATATTCGCAGTTGACAGCTACTGCTAAAGGTATCTGCCTCTTTTTGTCTACCTACTTCGAAAGCTTCTTCTCACACCTTGTTGCCTTTCAACTCACTAACATTCTTGGAATAAAGCACTTCTGGATTTTGAGACCCCAGGCGGTCTGCGATTTAATCTCTCCTCACTCAGCTCCCCCAACTTCGCAACTTCATATGCACTAGGTAGTGTCGGGCTTGTAGATGGCTCTCTCTCCTATCTTTATTCCTCGTTGCCTCTTCGTACCACTTCGCAGAGTGCGAAGATCGATTTATATCAGATAATACGAGGATATCGACAAATCCAGGAGCTTAGAAAGGTTGATGAATCATGGATGTGGGAGCAATGGCACGGGGGCAGACGAGTTGACCAACGGGATACATTACTTTATGGACGACTTTATTTGCCGCAGAGTACGCTTGAAGCGTTGTATTTGAGAAGGATCAGTCCGACGCAACAAGTGAGGATTACGGCTGTTAGTGATAGTAGGTTAAGAAATGGAGGAACTGTGTTAGCTTTGCATCAGTACGATACAGGAAAATACAGTACTGAGACGCTGTATTCGACTGATGGGGGGTTATTGGGATTGAGAGGGCTGTATAATTTTGGACCGGATCCAAGGAAAGAAATTACGGAGCCGCCGAAACAGATGTCAAGAATCGATGATAAATTCTATGGACGATTCAGCGCAGGAGCAGAGCTTTATTATGGAACTTTGAACAAATCGGGAGGGGTTAGTGTTGGAGGAAGGTTTGCCACATTGCCGGCGCATAAGGGAATACCTTTGACAGCCACTTTGACGCTGAATCCATTGATGGGAAATATCAGTTCGACATATGCTGTAAAAGCAGGCAAGAACTTATCCCTATGTTCAAGGTTAGACTTCAATGTCTATAGCTACGAGAGTGATTTGGTCCTTGGATGCGAATTGTGGAAGATGAAAGCACCGGTCGAGGAGCGCAGAGAGAGGAGTATGGAAGCAAAGCTTGCATGGAAACTCGACGAAGTGGATTTAGAAAAGGAGAAGAAACCTGAAGAGGTCGCCGGAGTTTTAAAAGCAAGAATTGACCAGAACCTGAAGGTTGGCTTGGTATGGGAAGGTAGAGTCAAGGAGTTATTGTTTACTCTGGGAACTTCGATTGATATGAAGAGGAGAGATCAACCGTTCAAGGCCTTGGGACTGGAATTGCAATATTCTTCATGAACAATTCGGCTGTTCGAGTACCCAGGTAGTACCAACACATTTCGTTTCACAGGGCTGATATAGTGCCGCTTCCGTTAGGCGAGCTCGGGAAGATCAGGCGAGGTTTATATTCTTGTGAAACACAAGCAAAATCCGAAAAGAACTCGACTCGTACAGCAACGTCTCGACCAAGACACCGGAAAATGTCGGTGTGCCATGTCGTACTGACAATATGGATGGCTCAAAGTTGGAAATTCCATTCGGAAGACTACCTTGGCGACATCGGATTTATGGAGTTGCAAACTTTGCAATCATTCCTCGATCTCAATCGAATATCGGAGTCAGAAACTCCCTCGCACCATTTTTAGGGATCCACTGTGATTAGATGCTATGGAAAGCATTCCGATAGTCGTACATGAACAGGATGGCTGTGAACGCAACAGAACGGTCATATTTGATAAGATGAGCAATCTATGAAAGCATTGGCTGTCATTAAATCAGCAGGCTATCCAACCAAAGAAAAGGCAAGGTTGTAGGATAAGATATTTCAATCCCGATGTTGAGAAGGGAATGATGAGATCAGAGAATCCACACCAGAATGAAATATTGTTAAACTCCACGTCCTGAATGGAGACACGGAGACTGAGGGGGAATAATCCACAGATGTGATTCACGTGACATAAACCTTTCCGTTTGTTGTCTCCCGAGGTCGGAGATCCTTCCGAATGGTTACAGTTTTTGAATAGTTTACCTAGTAGTAGATGGAAGCTAATAGTACAGTGATAATCGACATGATGCGAAGCACATGCAACAGACCGCTTCGTGCACGCGGCACCACCAGACTTTGGTACATTTAGTGTTACCTGGTTGTAACGTCATTTGGAAGAAAGTTCATCTTATCTTTGAATCAATGTTTCTCTTTTGGCAGGATCACCTGCATTTTGACATGTCAACTATCGGGCAAAGGTCATTCAAGCACTTTTGGTACCCGAAGTCCAACATATAACGTGATCCGAGCCGTAGCCGCTGCAGGCGACCGAGCAGTAATTTCCTAGAAGTTGATGATTCTGGTACTTTGATGCGACACTATTATACCGTCGGCATCTAGTACGATATATGTAACCAAAAGCACAATGGTCATGGCATACGAGGTACTCACTGTACTGACATAATGACGGCATTACTGAAGTAAAGAAAAAGGGAAAAAGGGAAAAAGGCTGGAAAAGGATTTTGAACTTTTCAGGGACGGAAGCTTTTCTCGGACGTTTATCACATTCCACATCCAATCACAGTGATCAGCAATTGATAATTCCACGGCCGGTTTTGGACAAATGAGAAACCGCCTTAACCATTATGAGTTAGGCTTGCAATATCTATGGTTTACTCAGCTTGGCTATCTAGTATCTACCCATCAAGGTTCTCATTTTCACCAATCTCACTGAATCTCTCGTCGGTGGGAGTTTTCTGTTTTCCCCCTCTCCTCTGACATTTTCTTTTAGACTGACTTTCCTCTTGATACAGTCCTACAGAGTATTGATTCTAGGTACCCATACTAATAATGATAATGATAATGACTATGATTATATGATACAATCCCAAGTATATCTCTATATCTCTATATCTCCGTACCTCCTCTGTTCAGTGAAGACTAGATAAGATAATGAATGATCTCTTCCTTCCTCGCCTTTCCTATTTCCCATTTCTTTCTTCACTTGTATACTACATACATACTACACTACTTCGTACACTATACTTTTCATCCTTTCACATCTTCATATTTTCATATTTTTATACTCTGGTACCCCTCAGAATCGCATGTGAATAAAATACATTGTTGTGGTACATACTATATACTATATACTATATACTACTACCTACCCACTACCTACCCATTAACACATCCATCTCTATATGTCTTGCTTTTCTCCCTCTTGTTGAACATCATTCAGCTGTGATAGGAATTGAATAAAGTTGTGATTGTTATTATTAGTTGGAACAGTTCCAGTTTTCACAAACATTTTCATTCAGCTACCTCACAAGGTACTCGTCCAGGTATACTTGCTTCTTTTCATTACCAATCCTATCTCTTCCTTATAAAAACTCGACAAATACCCCATATAAAATGTATAATCTGCTAATCCAACTTTTTCCACTAGCTACGGAAATTCCCACGACCATACAACCTTTGGATTTACCGCTACACCATTGCAACTAACTTCGTCTACTCGTTCATTATCCTCGGTAAATCTCCATTCGGACGACATTCATCAATACTGTTGAAGCTTTCCAAAGAATCAAACCTACTTTCAAAGTCCAAGCTTGGCAGGGTACACGGCATTCCCCTAAAGTTATCCGACGAGAATACGTAGAAGACGGCAGATATAAGTTGGACGATCATCTAGGAAGATAGGATATCTGCGAGTGGCAGAAGGAGTTACAGTTGGCGATCATGTCGGAATATACTGTTGTAGTTACGTGTGGGAGTGGAAATGAATATGATGGACGAATGGGTATACGAATATCTTCCATATTCGTGATTGGATTTGGTTCCATGATGGGTATGTCTCTCCTTGATCGAATATATGAACTCTCATTTGGCGAGAATACCTTTGGCTAACTAAATTAATAGGTGCTCTTCTACCAATCGCTGCTGCAAGAACGAAAAGAATGAGTGTTCCACCTCTGGCATTCTTCATCACTAAATATTTCGGATCGGGTGTTATTATAGCTACCGCTTTCATTCATGTACGTATTAGTCATTCTTCTCTTGCTCTCGCTCTCACGTCAAACTGGGATGGGGTTCGACTGCCTCCTATAAATTTGTGCTAATCATACTATAGTTACTTGCTCCCGCTTCGGCCAATTTGGCTTCCCCGTGTTTAAAAGGCGTAATTACAGAATATGATTGGGCTGAAGGTATTTGCCTTATGACTATTTTTAGTATGTTCTTTATTGAGCTCCTGGCCTCACGATTTGATGTATTTGGACAAGACGATCATGATCTGGAAGCAGTCGATCCTGCAAGGGATCTTATCAGACGAACTACCCGGGATGAGAAACTTGTCGCATTAAAAACATCTTCACCCTCAGATGGCAACAGTTGCAGAGAAACTGGCGAGAGTCCTCATGTTTCCAACGCCGTACTAGAACAACATGATCACGAGAGCTCAATTACCCGGATACCGACATCCGCAGAAGGACCATCTAGAGGTAGATCAAGTATACCAGGTCGACCTGATGATTTGTCATACCCCCCTGGAGGTGAAGATCACCTCGGGCATCAACGAGAACACCATGAAGATGGCGACCATTTTGCTGCTCAAATGACCGCAATATTCATTCTTGAATTTGGTGTCATATTTCATTCCATTTTTATCGGTCTCACACTTGCCGTCACAGGTGATGATTTTAACGTCCTTTACATTGTCCTTGTTTTCCATCAAACATTTGAAGGACTGGGTCTTGGAGCTCGACTTGCCACGGCTCATTGGCCTAAAAAGAAGGGATGGATGCCATGGGCTTTAGGAGCAGCTTATGGTTTTACAACACCTATTGCCATTGCTATTGGCTTAGGTGTTCGCACAACATTCGCTCCGGGTAGTCAAAAGACTATGATTATCAATGGTGTATTTGATTCCATCAGTGCTGGAATTCTCATCTATACAGGATTAGTGGAATTGATGGCACACGAATTCATGTTCAATCAAGAGATGCGTAAAAGTTCAATGAAAATGATGCTATTTGCTTTCGGATGCATGGCTGCAGGAGCAGGTTTAATGGCGTTATTAGGAAAGTGGGCTTGAAAGAACACATATTTTTATCATGTTAGAGGTCTTAATCATATAGATGGCTATGGGTATAGGTATTTTCGGAGTAAGCTGATCGGAGCTTAAGTGGGATAAAGGCGAATTGGCGTTGAAAAGAAATGCTTTTTAAAAGATCATTTTATGTATATGTTACGATGAAATTAGCATGGGAATTAGAATTAGTGGTTATGATATGAGGATAGGATGGTATGGTATGGAATGGTATGGGATGGTGGTATGTTGATGAATGGAATTGATAGATCGATGGTGATTGGATCGTCTATTATTTGATGTTAGAATTAGATGAGATGGTTTAGATGAAGTAGGGAGTGGGCTTGAAGATTTGAGGAGATGAGGAGATGAAAGAAAGAAAGAACCATCTTGAGTTTTGAAATATTTAGTTCCATATGTGATTATTGCTTTTGTGTTAGGTGATTTCGGGTTGAGTTTGATATCTATGTATTTTGAGCTTTTGTCTTTAGGTTGGTTGGGAGAGAATGGAATTGGGGTTTGGGGTTTGGGGATTAAGGATGGGGAATTAGAGATTCGAAGGGAAGAGAGAGAGGAGAGGAGATGGAGGAGGGAGAAAGAGAGAGAAAGAGAGAAGTTGGTTTGGCAGTTTAGTGATTTGGTGGCTGAATGATTTGAGGATTGGGCGATTAGTGGTTTAGTAATTGGATGATTGAATGGTTAGTGAATGAGATGGAATGAGATAGCATGAGATAGGACAACTAGGATTAGGGAATGGGAATAGAGATTATTCTTTATCTAATCATTACTTTTTCAACAAGCGAAACAACTCTTCGAGTAGATCTCTATAAAGATTCATATGTAATACGTTTAGATAAATATAATAATTTTATATATCGATAACTGGTTTAGATGGAAATAGTATGAGATGAATGTCCTGAAATTTATATGTGAGTTTTTTATATTAAATTATATAATTTATATGTATTGTTAAGCTTTTTATGTTATGTGAGATTTATTAAATGTATGTAGATTGTCTAGTGTGGATTTTGATATAAATCTTTGTAGAGCTTTATAGGGTAAGGTTTGAAGAGATAGGGAAATCTTGGAGTGGTTTGGGATTGGGATTGGGGTTGGGATTGGAAGAGGGGGGGGAGTTTGCTGTGTAGAGTGTTCTGGATGGTTGGTGGAGTGGTATGATGGCTGTGTGATTGATGGAATGGGATGGTGTGAAGGGGATTGGTGATTCGGATTTAGATTGGATTGGGGGTTGAGAGGGGAGGGGAGGGGGGAAGGAAGGGAAAGAGAAGGAGAGGAGAGAAAAGAGGAGAGTTTCGCTAGATAGAGAGTGGTTTTCAGTGGTTGGTGATTGGGTGATTTGATGATTGGTGGTTTGATGATATGATAGCTGGCTGGGTGATTAATAGAACGGGATAGGATGAATGGGATTGTGGAGTGAATGGATGGAGAGATGGATGAATGGTTGGGTTTTCGAAAAGGGTTTCGAAGAAGATTCTAGAGAGAGGTTCTGAAGAGAATTCTGGAGAAGAATGATGGGTGGGTAGGTGATTTGGATAAGTGATTTGGTAAGTGATTTGAAGAGGAAGGGAGAGGAGGAGGGGGAGGGTGATTCGAATGAATGGGTTTGAGTGGGATTGATATTTGTATTTTGAGTGGGGTTTGTGAGGTGAGGGTGATGAAAAAGTAAAAGGAAAAGGGAGGGGGAGAGGATAGTAGGGGTGATGAGGGTGATGGGGAGAGGGGGCAAGGGGGAAAGGAGGAGGGAAGAGGGGAAATAGGAAATAGAAGGGTAGAAGAGAAAGTGAGGGATTTGATTGGTTCATGTATGTATGTATGTATGTATATATAAAGGTTAAGAAAAGGGTAAGAATAGATCGATTAATATGTTTACATATGTATTAGAAGGAGTGGAATTAGATTGAGAAATATTATGTGTATATAAGGAGAAGAATAGAGGAGAGTAACAGGGTTGATATGATTAATGGAAAAGAAGGAAAGAAGAGATTTTATACAATTAATTTGTACACAGATAATGACCGATCGCCTAAATCACATTGAAATTTATTTTTAAAATGAATGAATTTAAATACAATTATATCTGAAATTGTAATATATATCTATAGAATTCTATTAAGTTCTAGTTATAGATTTCAAAAGAATGAATAGTTCATTTTTATGATTTTTAGCAATTGTATTATATAGCTTTGAAATATAGTAATTTGAAAATTCTAGAATTTATTAGTAAAATAAGCGAAATTTGAAGAACTTTATTAAGATTTTATTTTAATTATAAAATATTAATTTCATAATTTATATTAAAATTGAAAAACTAAAAAATATAAGTCTTTATTATGTAAATAATTCGTTTGAAAAGTTTTAATTGAAAAATATGATTATAAAT